GCATTTAGATTTACAAATATTTTACACTGCCCTAAATCAATAAAATGCAGAAGAGATAGAAGAGAGTGTATATCACCATATACATCATCACAACAAGCATGCGTATACCCAGACCTTTGTTTTTATTATGCTGATAAATACATTGAGTCTGGCTCTGCTATGGTTGCCTCCTGTTAAAAAAGGTTTTTCCTCTCCATAGTCACCAAGTTCTTGCTCATTGTAAGAACTGTTTCAGGTATAGAGATAATGTATGTTGTGGTTTTTGCGTTATACAAATAGATATTAGCAAAATGCTCTCTATTTCATTGCATGATCCAAACGTTGGTTGCAGCTCTCAGTCAGTTTACTGTTTAATTCTTCTCTTCAGATTTTAAGATAATAGCCGTAGCTCCGAAAATGTTAAACTACCCCTAACATACTGTAGTTAGGGTATCAGTTGTTATATTTCCAGTGATGAATGAAATGCCCTGATATTTAGGATAACTCAGCACTTCACCCTAAAATATCTCAACAGAGAGTAAAAGTACATTTTATCATGTTACTTTATTTTTGTGTATGTATAGTACGTTCAGTTTCCCCTCCCGTCACAGTTGTCCAGTGGTGGTGTGGTTGGGTGTTTCCCCTCTCTCTCCTTCACTCCCTTGTTTTCTGAGCTCATATCAAAGACAACATGTGAGCATCTGTTTATCTGTTTGTTTCTGTCCATCTGTTTCCTAGAGATGTTATTAAGGCTCTTGGACCTGTGTGTGTGCGTGTGTGTGTTGAACTATTGGTTGTAGTGTTCCTGTGGCATCAGACAGGAAATGGATCAGTCCAGTGTTATCAGCTCATAACAACAACTTCAGCATGTGTCTTTTCATGGCCACAATATTACAGACAATAAACTGAAATAAACAAAAGTGACAAAAGTTACAAATCTAGTTTATTTTGTATGTTTGTGTTTCTGCTGCAGTTCATGATAAATGAGAAGAGGGTGTTGTTGATGATTGTCGTGACTCTAACAAGGGTTAAGATGATGGTAATAGCTAATGATTATGTAATGGTAATACTGACGCAAGGCCTTCAGCACGTCAACAAACCCAGGAATGTTCCATCTGTTTCTATAATACAGACTCACTGTAAACACAGTTGACAAGAAGCTCTCCAGCCGCTTCCCTAATAGAGAGAAGGAGCCTGTTCACTCCAACAACAAACATAAAAAAACATGTCTGTTCCTGCAAACGCTCCAAGAAGAAACAACGATTTCTCCACCATATTAGAATACATTGTATTATAGTGTCTTGCAAAAACAAACCTAACTCAAGCTCAACTTCCCAGTTTTCCTGTGAAGCTATCAACCGTATCACATGGTCTTCATAAGCGGAGTTTGCTCAGTTGTCATGGAGACGGTTCTTCTGATAAACAAGCTCAATAGTTACTGTTATGATTTTATACAGTGCTTTAAGGACTTCTCGTCTGTGTTGTCTTACAGTTATCCAAACTATATTTGTGGTTTGACCTGATACCACCGTCATTAGTTACGTAACATGTGAAGAATGAAATTAGTTTTAATGTTATTACTTCTCGTCATTTTAGATTGAGGTTTTTTATTCAATTTTCTGCTCCTAGAAGATTTCCTTTTGTTGGATAGGAAGTGGAAAAAAAGGATCTTTTGCAGAGTTGAATGAGACATTTGATACCACTAATATTTGTATGAGAAGCAGGAGGTTAGCTTAGCTGAAGTGTGGCTGAAGAGTGTGGTATTTTTTACATATATATTTTTTACTTCTTCTATTGGACATTCTCTGTGTAAAACTTTTGTCATTTATATATATATATATATATATATATATATATATTCTTCATATAATCTTCATATAATTTGTTAATTGTTAGTAAAATTATTGCACTAGGCTAGCTTTTCTTCCTACTTCTATGCTAAGCTAATCGTCTCCTATAGCTCTAACTTTATATCAAACAGAACAATCTTAGAAATGTACATCTCAGCAAGAACCAAATAAATGTTATTTACCATAAAACTATTATTTTAAGGCTGAATACGTTTATAGGTCATGCACTCTCAAAATAAATTAGAATTGAATTACAATTATTTAGAGCTTTTTAAGTAACACTTGTGCGACACGTTGTAACTAAATCTTGAGACCAAGAGGATGGATGCACGTGTCCCTGTTAAAAGTGATTGATAGATTTACATATAGAGTTGACAGTATAAGATGTGAAGTTAGTGATTAGAAACCAAATTACTTTTAATTTAATTGTGAGCTTTTTAGTTTAGTTTAGCTGGTCTCATTGTCCTTTTGACCTGTGTTCGCTTATGTGATATTGCACATCTACATAGCCTTGTAGCCAATCACACCATATATTCAGGAAGCTTAATGGCTTGAAGCTTGTAGTTATGAAAAGTTCCTTTATTAAGTTTGGCCTAAGAAAACATTCCGTTCTCTCCTCTCCCCAGACCCTGTTCCTACGACCTTCATAACATCTGTGAAAATGACTGCACCAACATTAATGGTGACACAGCAACAATTATTCTGAGATATCAATTTACCAACCACAATATCAGTAATGAGTCGGCTTCCTGCCAAACTGTGCAGGAAATCGTCTGCATACAGTGCATATCTAATTAGATTTGAGACTAGAATAGGGAGGCAAGAAAACTTGGTGAATTAATGGCCCCTCTGTATGAGAGAGAGAAGCTGGTTCATCATGCTGGGGCTGAACTCTCACATGACCTCAAACTTCCTGTCTGCTGGAGGAGGTTCAATAACTGTCCTGTTAAATCAAGGGCAGTGACTGATTAAAAATCCCATAAGAAACTGGGTTTGCAGATCAATGCTTTTACATTTCTCATCATGTTGAAACTTATCTGACACTGAGATCTGATACTGTTGCCTCAAGCAGCAAAGGTTCATGAAGCAGCCAAAATCTAATGCGCTGCATGTCGATCCTTTTTTTTCCTCTTCATTCAAGAGCGTGGTCTTACAGTTTAAGAGCAGGACTTATGGACTTCAAGAACAGAACTTGTAATGCTTTCACTCAAAACCCTGCGCTCACAATTTACCCTGTTTGTGCTTGAGTTTAATGCAGTGCAGCTTCAGCTCTTCTCCACACCTCTTTGTAAAACGTCTGGTCTCTGATTTTTTTCTTCTGCTCTTGGATTTTTTGTGTGTGCAGTCTGTCAAAATTCACTATCCAATAGAATGCCAGGTGTAGTGTTGACAAATAAGATTGTCCCACCCTTGTTGTAGGTGTGTAAGCTTTAATTCTTCTAGAGTCCCGTACGGTCAATTACTTTAACTGGGTTCATGCAATCCAGCGCTCCACTGCTTTATCATTACACCAGCTTCCTGTCTGTGTGCTTGACACTATTGGAGTGGTCCCTGGTCAACATGGAGCAGCAAAATCCAGGATCTTTTTACTGCATAGAAACACTGTTTCTAGCAAACAAGATACACTCCATCCTATTTAATTTTATGAAGAATAGTACCAACAGCAAAAATAACAAAGTAATTTGTCACTACTACACCTGACATTTCACTGGTTGGAGGATTTTTGAGTGGCACAAATAAAATCCAAGTGCAGAAGTTTCATGTGCGCACAGAAGCAGCGAGGAGAAGAGCACTATATATGTAGAAGCTGGAGCGCAGGAAATGTGAGTGTAAGCAGGATATGTTTGAATGTTAGCACAGGTTTTTGAGTGGGAGCATTTCAATACCATAATGTGAAAACAATAGCTCCTGCTCTGAGTGGGAACAAACCTCCATATCCATGCTGCTATACAATGAGAGATTGGTTTGTTATATCACTTCATGTCTGTTTGAGTTTGTGTTAGAGGTTGCTGGGCATCTGCTGGTGCTGAGAGGTGAATGTTTGAGCTGACAGAAGTGGATGGCAGAGCGGAGCAGAAGACTGGAAACATAGCTGAGATGCCTCCGTTGAGACTGTTTGGAGTGTAGTGAAGGATTGGGCTGCAGCTTGGGTTTGCTCCGGACTGAAGTGTAACGCAACAGCTTGGGTTGGAAGAGAAGTTTAAATAACACATTGAGGTTCATCTCAACAATTTACATAAGACAGACTGCGCATGTTCAGTTTTTGAGAAATGAAGAAATAGATGGATGTTAACGCATTCAGGAAATCGTCCAGCAGCTTTATGAGACTATTCTATAGGTGGTTGCTCACTCCAGGCGACTATATAATCCTTCAAATGAACTTAGGCTGTCTGCTGAGTCCTTTGTGAATTCACATGTTATCATCAACTCAAGCCAAGCCACTCTCACTCACAGTCACGACACTCCCAAATGGGACTTTAATCACATTGTAATCCAGCGAACCTGATCACATTGCAAGTGGTCAGGCTGCCGTATGAGCGATATAAGGAGATAGGGGAGGATTAAGATAAATACAGCAACAGGAGACACAAAATAGACAGTCTGAGCCCATTGGGCTGCTGATGACTCAGTGTTCACCATGATTCATTTATCAAGTCCCAGTGGAATCGAGTTGTGACTGCACAATTAAATCTGTTGTCCAAAAGGGATTGAAAAGAAAACTCTAAGGATTTAAGGTGTATTATGAACAATGATCTGTGTTATTGTAAAATTACCTCAGCTTTTATGTGGGGATTTATTCATACATTGCTTTTATGTGCAAAATATATAAATCAGTCCAATGAATCCTGTGTCAACTACATATTAGTATTAGTATGACAGAAGAAATTCTGAGGAACAGTAATGCTGATCCCTGGCTTCTGTCTCTGTCTCCTTCCCAGCAGTGACAGTGCTGCCATGGCATCAGGACCTCCAGATGTGATGGCCAATCAGGAGCCTGCCGAGGTCCAGGAGGAGTGCTCAGGTAACAGTTTGATCACATGTTCAGTCAATGTTTCGTTGGATAGCTAATGTCATGTATTATTACGTACTCACAGTGCCCTTCACTTAAAACGCATGATATTTTTTTTCCTCCAGTTCAAATGGATTTAGTTTTTTCCCATATTCTCTAAGGCTCTGACAGCTGAACACTAAGTTAATATAGTGTCAATCTTTAAATTCTGCAGGTGCCACATTTGTGTTCTGTCAGGAGTCCCAGATTCAGTTAAGGATAAACATAACAAAGCATGTTGGTGTCAGATCAGGCTGGATCAGTAGAGAGTGAGGTTAATCAATCCAGATCTTCTTACTGCTGCCGGCAGGAAATCAAGACACAGAGAAAGTTATCATCATCATCTCCAGCTCATAAAGACACACACACACACACACACACACACACACACACACACGTCTAAGTGGAAACAGTGTTCCGTGCCTGAGCTCCTGTCATAAATTTGACAACCTCTGATTCTGACAGAAAGAAATTAAAACCAGAAAAAAATGCTTATTATGGGATTTACATTTGTATTGATTAATCAATGACAGAATGTGAGGAAACATATGACATTCTGATTCAAACATCACTCAAACCCTTACGTAATTCAAACTACTGGAGGGGAAGTTGAAAACAGAGATAGCTCATGTCAAATAGTAACATCATCCTGTTCTCCATATGCATGAGAACATACTGCAGACCTCTACTTCCTCTTCCTCCTCTTCACTGCTTCTCATCTACCTTCCTTCCTCCCTGCTTCCCTCTTGCAGTAAATGGAACATTAAGTGTGTCACTTTAGGAGACTTTGTGAACTTGCCAAATAAAACAAAAGTGACCATGTGCTAACTTTTCTATAATGAAGACATGTTTAAATCCCCTGTACTTGTCTTCTTCTGTCCACATTGTTTCCCAGTCAAAGGTCACCATGTTCCCATTGTGTAAGCTCCCCCTAATACTGACCTTAGCCTGCTTTAAAATCCCCACAATAGTATTGTTGAGCGTGTGTGTGTTTGCCCGCATTTGTGATTGAAAGAATATTTATTGAGAAATTACAGTATCCAAGCCATACAATCACTGTGCTACACTGACCTTCCATTGAAGCGGTGGCCTTTTCAAACTGTCTGAGGGCAGACCTTTAGCTTAATAGTGTATTGTGCCTAAAATAGCACAATAAATGGCACTGACTGGTGTTTCCCACTGATTTTTTCATCTTGGCAGTGCAGAGAGGCCTCTGAAGCGTCATCTAAAGCATGCTGGATGCTCCTCAAGTAAACAGAGCAGTTCACTTTGTGCCCTTAGACAAAAAAGAGAGGAATATGCAGCCAACATTCCTTCATGAAAACTGGATTAAAACTGTATTTTCAATATGTGGCAAGTCATCAAAATGGTGTATGAGCTAAATGTGTCCATCCACAAAGAAAAGACAGCTTGTGACTAATGTTATCTATAATAGGCCTATATAAATTGCATTGTAAAAATAATGGTAGAGTGTATACCTCCACCAAGGCCCAACAGCTTTTTAACCTAATATGCCAGATTTATTTTCATCTAGGTCCATTAATTATTTGAAATGAATTATAAAACTGTGAAAATGTAAAAAAAAAAACAATATCTTGCAATATGAAAGAATACTATTGAAATTCCTGTATCTGCACCAAAATGTAATAGCCCTGATCCATGCCACATCCTTCAAGCAAGTTTCGTAGGAATCTTAGTTTTTGCGTAATCCTGCTGACAAACAAATCAAATCAAATAAATCCTCTTAATTATTTTGGGATGTCTGCTTGAGAACATCTAAAGTACCTTGGTCCCAGTACCAGGTTTAGATTCCAGACATGTTTTATTTGTGATTTTGCTCCAAGCAGAAAATATATATGTAGAGAAAGGAATGCTCAAGGATTCCCCACTGGTAGAAGGACAAACATGACACAGCCAGTAGGTATAAAAAGAATGTGTATCTTTTTAAAAGCTCTTCTGAAACTATTCTGTAGCCCAGGGGTGTGAGTTCTCAAAATAGTTGGATCGCAGTGGTGCTGTTGTTCTTCTCCTCTGTTTACAGTTTCTCCCTTTATGTTGTCTTTGGTGATTAATATGTCTGTGCACTGTTAGCATATCCAATTACTTCTCCATTAGAGAAGAATGTTTGTATCAATAAGTAAATGCTGGTGAATGTATTTATGTAATGCTTTTCTAGATGCTTTTCTTGATAACCGCTCATCACACTCTGCCTCTATGTGCAGCACTCTCTCTATCATACACTGCTCACACACTGCCGACACAAGTGTTAGGGGCAATTTGGGGTCCTTAGCCAAAGCTGCTGTAATGAGTGACTGTTTGTATTGAAGTGTTCATTTGCAGTCCCTGGTCAGTTCAGAGGTTGTAGAATCTAACATCTAACAAAACTATAATCACTGATAACAAGTACCTGATTATCACAGATTTAGCTCTGCACACTGGATGATGGAAAAATAACCAAAAGTTGATGCAAAGGAAACAGACACATCATCCATTCATTATAAACTAAACATTGTTTCTCCTCGTCCAAATCTGGTGCCTACATTACCCACAACGCAACAGCTGTACTAGTATACTAGTAGTAGCTTATGCATCCTGGAGCCTCAAGCAGAGGCTAAACACAGACTTAATCCCCAAACAACGCAGACTTAAGTGACCTCAGCTGATGTCATTCAGACGGACTGTGATGTGTAAAATCTGACCAGCTTAAAGCCAGGCGTGTTTCAGTACAGCCTTGCAGAACAGTGGATGCAGACACTTCAGATGTAAGAGAAGGGGATGTGAATTTGTCTGTGTTCACTGTTTGATTTGAATCAAAAACTTTGAGACAGACCACAGCCCTGTCGATGTGAGGGACACGGGGAGGACCAGTGGGAGTTTCAGGCTCTGGATGAATGCATCTCTGACTGAGAGCAATGAAAGCAGTTTGTAGCTGTTTAAGGACTTGTTTAAAGAGTTGTTGAGTTTTCCACTGCAGCGTTAATGGACATGCCCCCACTGTGTGTGTAGGTGTGTGTGTGTGTGTGTGTGTCTTTATATACGTGCAACCACATCTTTACGTGTGTGGTTTCTCCTGAGGTGCCTACCTGAACACATGATTCATTACTGTAACTAGAAGACATATGAGGGCAGTGAGTAAAGATGCTGTGTGTAATCCTTGTTAATATGTGACTGTGCAGTTGTAATGATTCACTGTTGTGCTGTCAGGAGAGTGTAACTGCGATGAGGGCTGTGCCAGTGTTTTAAATGTTCTTTCTCTCTGCCTCTTTCTTCTCAGGAAAGAAAAAGTCCAAGTTCCAGACTTTCAAAAAATTCTTTGCCAGGAAGAAGAAAAAGGAGCCTTCAGCTGCTGGAGAAGACACGGGCCTTAAAGCCAGCCAATCGAGCGACAATGTCAGCAAAACATCAGAGAATAACGCACTCACCCGATCAGAGAAGGATAAGGGCTCTGGGTAAGATTGGACCCACACACACATGCATATAGAAATACAAACAGGAAAACCATGGCACTCTTATTCAAAGGTCTAATATATATATATATATATCACTGTAAAATTACTGTTTCAAGTACTTCTTTTTGGGTTATTTGTGGAATAGATATGTTGTTATACATCCTGTATCTCACACATCCTCACCACTGTTGTAGAGCAGCTAAAACGCGGCCACATTTCAATATAGATGGGCAGAAATTAAGATGTTTGGAAACAGTGACATAGACGCCCCCAACCTCTTTGCGATTGGTTCGTTTCTGTCTCGACGTAACCTGGTGATTTGTCTGGCTCCTTTCAGTTGACCTTCCAGAAGAAGACAACCGGCATTAGCCTTGGCTACCAGTTTAGAAAACAACATGGATAATCAATTACAAGCATTGCTTACCCTGTTGTTTTAAGATTAGCTTTTATCCGAACAATTCCAGTGTACACCGGACCTTCTTGTTTACACCGGTACACACATGCCTTGTTTACCTGAGTCGTCAAGTGATCGTGTTTTCAGGCGTGTTAGGATGACTAAAACTAATACGGAGCCAAAACAGTTGTGTGGACAGAGATAGTTTTGAAAACGTGGTGGTATGTATGTAGCCTCAGGTGAGCTGAAAAGTTCCTCCCTCCATTTAGATAAATATCTCCACTTGAGTTAAAAAGATCAGAGGTCATTTAAAAATGGAAGATAGTGTTTTAACATCCTTCTCCCGTTCTGACAAACTCGTGGCTTCCTGTTTTCGTGACAAGTAGTAGAGTGTCTCTTCCTGTGGACACTCCTGATTTCCTCTGTTTTTTTTTTTAAAGCTGTGCCACTTCCTGCCACAGCTTTGCTGACTTCTCCTCACTCAGGATTTATCCACTCCACATTTTTTGAAGCTGTCTGGTTTTAGAAAAACAACCAAAAAACAAAGGAAACATCTCACTGTAATTGAAATGTCTTTGTTGGTAAACGACACAAATTTTAAACCCACATCATTGTTACTTATATGTGATTTCTTCCAAACCAGTGACCCATCCCCACATGCACTTCTCTTTTATTTTGTTTATTTAGTTTTAGAAGCTGTGAAAATCTCCTCTGTGGTTTGTTTATTTCTTCCTCTTCCTGTCTCCAAAGGTCAAAGATCAGCCTGGGCTGTAAGGCCTTGTCCCACGACTCTGTCTTTGTTTCTGACTCATCAGAGGCCAATGAGGCTCTGGGGGCATCTCAGGACAGCATTCACGGGAAAGTGAAATCACTACAGGTAAAAGCATGCCTGGTCTTTTATTTTGAAATACTGTTCAACTCAGGGCGACAGGTTTGAGCTCCTGTGAATGAGTATCTGGCTTGAGAGAGATCGTAAATCCCTGCGATGTCAAGGATGCCGCAGTGACGCTGACCCGCCTACGGAGGCAGGAAGGAGAAAAGAGGATTTGAGTGCAGAGGTTAATAAGGAACAATAAACAAATAAAGAATCGTAGTGAGTTTGGACATGAGGACATCTCGCGACCCAGGCTGCTCTCTGCTGTCATGAACAGTATAAATCAATAAAAGGAGTTGACAGAAAGACAGTGGTACCAGCTGGCCTCCTCTTTATTATATTTAGTTTGTGTGATTCCCCCTCAGGGATGTGAATGTAGAATGAAATACACTCACACAGTCAGAACTTCGATGTAGATACACATGTACAGAGACAGGCTGAGCAGATGTGTGCTACAAAGAAAACAAACAGAATAAATGTCCGTCACAACTAAAGTTTAAAATGGGAAGACATGAGCCCAAGCTGGATTGAAAAATTTAAAGTCACTCATTATCTACTCACCATTATGCCGATGGAGGGTGGGTGAAGTGTTTGAAATCACAGTACAGTTGCAGTTAATAGTGACCTATTCTTTAGAAGTAATAAAATAATAGAAACATAACATGCCTCCATACTGCTCGTGTGAGATTCATCAACTTGAAACGAGGTAACGTAAACCATGTTTTTAGAATAAAATTCCACTGATATGTTCCTACGAGGTGCATTCATGGACCCTCGGACACGCCATCGTGTAGCTATGTCCACTAGCTTAGCCACTTCCCGGAGACTTTTAGGCTTAATATGCCACCACACGAGCAGTATGAAGGCATGTTGTGTTTTTTCTGCTGTTTTATTACATCTGAAGTTTAGGTCACCATTGACTTCAATTGTGTCGGATTCGGCTGCTGCAAAGTTTCCTTCTGAGACTCCAAAAATTTTTTGTGGACTCAACACTTCACCCACTTCAATATGTTACAGGGTGCATGGAAATCTGATGAACAGGGCAACACTGGAAATGCATATAACATGTTGTCTCACTTCAGATAATGTTGGTGCGAAATATTCCAAATATTGGCCATATCACTGTCCTAAAGGTCAATTCACCAATATGGCCCTGCTATTTTGTGGATAATTCAAACTTGGTTATGTAAATAAAGTAAATTTCATTGTAAGCAACTGCAAATGGTGCTAACAGTGAAATAACCTTTTCCTGTGTCCTTATCTGAGTTGGAGCTCCAATGTTTGAATTTGTTAAAGTAAACGTATCAACTGGAGTACATTAACTAAACTGTACTGCTCTGTGTCTTTCTTATCAAGGAGGTGTGTGTTGTGTGTGGTGTGTGTGTGTGTTAGTGGTCAGCCCAGATGAAGAAAAGCTGTTTTGTCCTGTGTTTGCTTTGCACCTGAGTCAGTGAGACCTTGAGTGACTGATACACGGCAACATTTAACAGACAGATAACGACTCTGTTAGTTTGAGTTTCTGTGATACCTACCACACACACACACACACACACACACACACACACACACACACACACACACACACACACGCACACACACACACCCAGATTAAACCCCTTTCTCATAGAGAAAGTGCTGCACATAGATGCACTGTATAAATGTGTGTGTGAGTGGGTGAATGTACAAGATGGCGGCTTTCATATCTAGGATATTTTGACTTCATTTCTGGATAGAGGGTGGAAGTGGAGGAGATGTGTCGTCCATCTTTAAATAAAGTCAATGGCCCCTACATACTTAATAAACTTTGAAAACACAATAACTCTCTTCTGTATTATCTACAAGTGTATGTTTCAAGATTTGGAATTCTTAAATAAATGAAATTCATGCACTATGTACAGGTTTTCTAATTGTGTGTTTTTCCTGCAGCTCCAGTTGAAACAGGCCATCAGACTGGGCTCTCCTCCATCCCTGATGTGCGTGAAGCGGGCAGACGATCCAGGAACCATGTCAGAAGATGATGGTCTGCCCTGCAGTCCACCTGAATACACCACTCTTCACACAGCCATGGTAACGCATATTACTGAATGTCATTACACATCTGTGCCAGTCCAGCTGGCTGCAGACCGCACTGCTGCCACACTCACTCTGCTCTCTATCTCCATCTCTCAGAATCAGGCTCAGAGGAACAGTTCGATCAGTCTGGAGGGAATAGATGATGACGACCAGGTAAATACAAATTTACGAGTGCTCCACACTCTGTCGTCACAGTCGAGCCACAGACCCATTAATTTCATCCTTTAAATTCCAAACATTATTCTTCCTAGTCAAAACTTTAAATTACCTATGATGCAACTTGGCCGCCAACAGTTTGGTCGGAGATTTGGGTTGTGCTGTTTGTGGCTAATGTAGCCTTGAGCTGAGATGAGTAGTGGGCTAAAGAGGCCTGTTACATTCACTTCTTTCTTACTCCTCGCTGCCATGCAGATTCATTTTGTCTTATCAATGGGTTGGTGCAGAGCCTCTGAGTCTCCCAACAGTTTGTGTGAAAATACTGTCAATTAGTTAACACTGAACTGTGTGAGCCACTGATAAAATGTGCCGGATGTTCAACAAGTGGTTTATGGTGACATTTGGAATCTCACCATGACAAAACCTAAAAGCCCTACAAAGTATCGAAAACACCTGTATTCAGTACTGGTGGATATGGCAGCTTATGACAGATTTACATTCAACAGAGCAACACTGAAGGAAATAATCTCTATATTTCTCCTGACAGCTGTAGCAAACAAAAGAAGGCCACGGCAGAAAATCCAGCATTGTTATAAATAAATTAGTGCCTCATCAAATTCAATATGTGCTCCAACTGACACTGTAGCTGAAAACAAATTCTAGTACTTGAGGAAACCAATCACATGTTAGGCTTTTTGTTTATTCTCATCAGCAGCTAAACAACTATTCCAATCACCTCTTACTGCGATTTATAAAGACCAGGAGGAACCTGCAGGCTCCATGAATGAGGAGCTTTTTGTCATTTCTCCTCAGGTGACTATGATGGTGAAGACATCTCATGGAGTCATGCTCGACTCTTCACTGACGCATTAAAGCCCCTGTTGATCTCTTTCTCTACACCACCTCATTTTTATCACTCTCTCAATCCCCATCCTCACTTACTCTTTCCTGCTTTATCAGTCTCCTGACCGACTGAATGAGTGTTTGTGATTCACCCCATGTGACCTAAAATGTCACATATGCTCCATGACAACACTGTCACTTAGAGCAGTTCACTTTATTAATGGACAGAGATTAGTGCCAGTTCATGACAAGACAAATGTCCTAAAAACCTCAACTATCCATTTAGCCTCACTGGTGACAATGTGTCCTGAAAGCACAGTCAGTAAAGTATGACAAATGAGAATTTAATGATAGAGTTTCAACAATTTCAGGAGAGTTTCTGCCAGTCAAGAACCACAGATGGCCAGCAACAAAGACATGCATGCCGAAACCTGAAAATATCTCATTTTAAAGTGCATTCCAGACAGAGGGACGCGGCCAAAGAGGACGGCAGTGACTTGTGAAATGTAGTCGCAGCAGCACTTTCTGGAGCATTTTCCTTCAGTGAGAACTCCAGACAGACTTTATGGAGACTTTTGTTTTTTAGTTTTTTTATTCCAAAAATAAAGTTGTTTTCATTCCAATTCAGTTTGTTCATAGCTGCCTAAACTCAACTGGGATATCTGGGTTTGGATCAGCCTGTCTTCATATTTACTGCAAACAGAAAGAGTGCAGGCTTTGCCATTATTAAACATGTTTCAGTATTTTGGGACCTGGTGGAAAACAAAACGGAGCCAAAATGAGAGTGAATATTAAGACTTAACATTTTTCAGGTGGATAAAAACACAACCCTGAATTAATCCTAATTACTTAATGTCTGCGGCTCTTTGCTAACCTATTGACAATATACATTTTACGAGGTAATATTATGTCATTGATGAGTATATGGCTCGTTTCTACTGCCACCAAGTGGCCAATACCTGCATGCAGTTGATTGAGCCCAAATTAATTTGTGTGACTTAAGGTGGTGAAGTATCTTTCAAACACAACCTCTGTGCATTTCTTCTCATGGGACTGAAACTTGAATCTGGACAGTTTAACTTTCTAGTTCAGCTCTGATTCATTCAGGAATTTCACACTAACACAAATGAATACTGTGTCTGTAGCACTGTCATGTGCTTAGTGTGTGACGCTTCAAGAAGGACCTCAGGGTGTGTGTGTGTGTGTGTGTGTGTGTGTGTGTGTGTGTGTGTGTGTGTGTGTGTGTGTGTGTGTGTGTGTGTTGAGAATGCATTCCACTGGCAGTAGGCATGTCTGCTTGTAGCTATAACATTCACACTCTGCCTCAGCTTCTCTCTCTCCAACACACACTCTCAAACACTCACAATAAAGAAGAACAGCGTTCATATTCCTCTGAATGATGCATGTTCTCAGTCCAGGTATGACTCAGACAATTGATTAAATGTGAATCCTAAGGGGAAAGTTCACACAAAACACATACTTTCATTTTCTATATATTTTCCAACAGACTTGGTATCTAGTCATGCAGATAGTTTTGGTTTGATTTGCCAAATATGGAGAAGATCTCTATCATCTGCCACAAACACAATACAATGGAGCTGATTAGAGCAAAGAGATTAACTTGAGTCAACAAACATGTTTTTAGAAAAAGTCAACAACAGTGTGTCTTTCCACGTTCCTTGATAATTCACAAATGTCACTGTGGACACTTTCGGGATGTTTTTGGTAGAAACTGTTCCAAATTCCAGATTTTAGTTTCCTGAAACTGTCATCGCAGTCCTTTAGGTCGCCCAAATATGGTGTGAATAATTTGGAGGAGGAGGAGAGGTTAAAATGAGTCAGACTGTGAATTTGTGAGAGCAGACAGAGGGGAAAGCTCCACAGCAATGACAGAGTTGGTTGTTCCTGCAGATAAGGACAGCTAATATTTATACAGCTGGATTCCTTGTCTCTCACGCTCTCACTCGCTCACTGTTACTCTTGCTTCATTTCCCCTGGATTCTTTATCTACTACCTTCATCACTTTAAGTGGAAATCCACCTTTAACGCACTCTAACACGCTCTTTCCCTCTCAGCCGTAGCGTTAACAGCTGTAAAGTTTAGGGGCTGTAAAACCTGACTAAGATCAATAACTCAAATGTGTACTGTGACCAAATGTGCCTGGAGCTGCTCCACAGGGACACATTGAGAGACCGACTTTGAGGATACAGTGACATGTGGATATAATTTCCCCTGGACATGGGTGGACAAATCCCAGTGTTTCTCACTGGAGACACATCCAGAGTTGTCTCTAGATGATGACACATATTTGAGTGCTTGTGGTTTGGAGTCCAGCTGCTGCAGGGATTTAATTAACCTGTATTCACTAATGCCTCAGGAGTATTTACTTTACTCTGTCAACAAGTTATTTGTGGAACTTTTTTTCTGAAACCTTCTTTCTGTGTTTGTCTCTGTGTCCCCAGCTGTCCTGTGCAGCCTCCAGCAGAGCAATGAGCCCCCTGGTGGTTCCAGGAGACTTCAGTCAGCCGGCCAGTCCCTTCGGCTGTCTGGACAACTCTGCTGCCAAACACAAGCGAGGCCTGAGACTCAAAGCCTGCAACAAGAGGAAACCAACCAGTGTAAGACTACACTAACACAAGCGCACACACCTAATAAATATCCTCTACCGAAGCACATGTCAGCAATTTTCATCTTGAGTGCAAACTTTTTACTGCCAATAGAAATGAAGGCCAAATCTAAACACAGAAAACCAGGTTATGTAGAAAAGGAATTATTTTCTTCTACGAATGCTCTTTTCCCACACTAATGTTTTGATCTGTTGCTGTTAAAGACACTGTCACTCATCTTTCCTGTTGTTGCAGCAGCTCAGTATTTCCACTCTTTATCTAATGTCAAGGTTTTTACACATTCATAACTCTAGAGAATCCGGTTAAAATGTTCATGTGTGCATCTCCAGCCTAAGATGTATCCACTTGCCATCATGTGGTGAAGTATGAAAGCTAGTTGCTAGATACTATTAATAACATAATGTGTTTAAGACCTTTTGGCCAATCAGGGTAAGATAGGGTTTAGTGGATTTGCATCTTCAGGTCAAAGGTCAGTCTAACTTGATCTGAGAGGTAATTGTCATTTCATTGTGACAATGCAGAGGCTGGAGGGGAAAACGGAGGGAGACTCAGTGGTGGATGAGATGCTGGACACATCTGTAACAGATGCTGCGGAGGAGCAAGAAGAACAGAAGTCAGAAGGTCAGCAGGATTTTATGTACTTAGAGTAAAATGTGTTGGTCTCTTGTTACAAACATTACAGTTAAATCATTTCATTAAAGGGAAATTGCATATGCTTTTGTTGTGCATATTTGGTGTATGAAAATTACAATTTTGATAACCTTTTTGTCAGATTAGAAAGTACAGCTACTGCCAATTAGATCAATAATATACTTCCATAATTACAGTCTAATCCGATGTTAAATTGAGTTGTCATCCATTCAGCAGAATATTTTCAACCTCAATTTGAATTTATAAATGATAATTGGCTACAGACTTCCATATATCTGCTGCCACTGTGTGATATCAGATTCTTCTGAGACCTTTGTTTCCATCTGTACTCCAGCTGTGAGTTTTGATGAGCTGAAACCACAAGTGGAGAGGGAGGAGGAGGAGGAAGAAGGAGAAGGAGAAGAAGAAGACATGGAGGAGGAGAAAGAGCAATCACAGCATTCCAGACAATCCCTGTTAAGATATAAGGAGGAGAGGGAGGAGAGAGATGAGGGAGAGGAGGGAGAGGATGAGTCGGAATCAGAAGAGGAAATTTCTCACAGCCCGGACATTTCCTCTCCTCCTGAGCCAAGTCTGTCAGAGGAGGAAGCCCCCGACGCCCAGCCCCCGCCCTCTTCAGAGCCCAGCTCCAGAGCCTCCTCTCTGGAAAGTCCCAGGTGATTAGATGGGATGTCCTCTGTGTTTTCTCCTCCTCACACTTTAAGTTGTTTTCTACTCATGTTAATCTGACCTCTTGCCTTCTGTTTCTAGAGCCACACCAGAGCCCCCTGCTGGCCCAAGAGAGTATTTACTGGACCCTCCGGGTATTGCCTATGGAGCAGAGAAGAAGTGGGTTGAAAGTGAGTTGGCACTGAGAATGGATGAAGATGAAGTTCAGGAAAACAGAGAGGAGGAAGAGGAGGAAGAGGAGGAGAGCTCGTTCCTACAGGAGGTACTGAGCTCTCTGAAAACTCCCCTCACGTCTTGCTCACTGAGGTTAGAGACAGAGAACGTCGTCCTGGAGATGAAAGAGGAGAAGATGGAAAAAGAACTAGCAGAGATGGAAGATGGGGAGAAGGTAGAGGAAGAGGAGGAAGAGGAGGAAGAGGAGGAAGAAGAGGATGAGCCTGTCGATTATCAGGCTGCTTCCTCTCTAATGTTGGGTCACACCACTGAGAAAGAGGAGGAGGTTTCTGTTCGCTCCAGTGAAGAAGAAGTGGTTCCTGTTGAGGAAGAGGCAGAAAGTGATGAAGAAGAAGAAGAAGAAGCACCAGCAGCAGCAGCAGCAGAGGAAGAAGAAGAACTGGTTGTGGAACTATTCGTTCAACATAGTGTATGTATTTTTGATTAATTTCTAGTATTTGGATATATGTAACTATCCGTGTTTGTAAGCTCTTGCAATTATTTTGAATAGAGTTCAATGGGCCACATGCAAGAGCAATGATTCATAATGCTTTGAATTCATAGAACTGTTACGTAAGTGTGTGAGTTCCACTGTCGAAAATCTAATGAAGCAGTTGATCTGAAAAGAAAGACTAAATAAACTTTTGAATGACAGAATCTTTCAAAAACCATACGGACTTGCTACTGGAGAAAGAAATCTGTTTGTATATGTGGTCTTGAGCTGCAGTTGACAAACTTTATATACAGTACTACATGAAAAACAAATTATTTACAGGATGTAATGTATTATTTCCTTTTCTCTTTTGTCTTCCAGCAGGAAGAAGAAGAAGCAGCAGCAGCAGCAGCAGAGAAAGAGGACGTGGAGGAAGTTGAACCTGAGGAGGAGAATGATGTGCTCTCTAGAAAATCTGACATCCGTGCTCAGGAAGATAGACGAGAGGAAGAGGGTGAGAGAGAGGAAGAGGTGATGGAGCTGGAGAAAGAGCCACAGGTGGATGAGGAGGGATCGGAGAAGAGAGAAGAGGAGGAGGAGGTGAAGGGAGTGAGTGCAAGAGTGGAGGAGGCAGAGGAAGCAATTGAAGAGGAGAGCAAGGACGCAGAGGAGATGATGGATAACCTCCCTGATGCAGCAGATGAAGAGGTTGGGATCACTGTGTCACTGCAGGAGAGAGATGAATGTGTAGAAGCTGTGGTCAGAGATGACGCCACAGAACACACAGGTGATGATGAAATCCAGACAGAACTGGGAGATCAAGTAGTTGACAAAGTGCAGGAGGGGGAAGAAAACCCTGAGATAGTTGAGGAAGAGGAAGAGATTGAGCTCTCAGAAGAAAAATCAGACCAAGAGGCCGATGTGGAAACAAAACATCCTGATGTGGATGAAACTGAAGAAGAAAATAGAGAGGGATTATCCAGTATAGACACAAAACAAGAGGATCAAACTGAAGCCACAGCTGCTGTTCCTGCACACCCTTCTTCTTTGTCTCTGCAGGAGTTCCCTCATGAGACTCCATCACAAGAGAGCGGCGCTGTCTCTCCCAGTAAAACCAGCATGCTCCACATAAATCTAGTCTCTCCCAGCTCAGAGAAAAACCCATCGTTCTTCCAGCAGTCTCCAACTGCTGAAGATGTCAAAGACAACATCACTGAGCCTCCTTCTCAGCTTGCAGCAGCCACAGAAGATGAACAAGCTGACACTGTGGAGGAAGTAGAGGAAGAGAAACAGCCCACCCTGGAAGTAGAAGAAGAAGTAGAAGAAGAAGTTACACCTCCTGCATCTTTGGAGGAAACCACCCGACCGTCCAGTGGTTCCGATCAGAGTAAAGCCCGCTTCACCATCACGCCCGCCTGGCAGAGACCTCAGAGTTTGACTCCTCCCTCCTCTCCGCCCGCCGTCGCCTGCTCTCCGACGTCTCCTGTCGCAGGACATGGAGGTGAGGAGGTGGAAGCTGCAGCGAAAATGGATCCAGATGTGAAAGCAGAGCCGGCAAGTTCCCCCAAGGTGGAGCTGGTGTTGAGTCCAGGCAGAGCGAGGAATGCTGGGAGCACCGCCGTCAGACCGCAGAGCAACACATCACCCTCTCCACCCTGCATTAAACCTCAGAGCTCAGCTGCTGCAAGCACAGAAGGTAGACACATTAAACATGACCATTCCTACTGTTTTATATGTTTGGGTGCTTGTATTGTTGTCTTCATACAGCGTCCTGAGCTGTAATTGTATGTTCTATTTTCACTATGACCCACATCCTCTGTTTTTCCAGTCACATGACATGAACTGACTGTTTGAGCTAAAATAAAGTGAACCCACAACTTCTCCACCTCCCACCTCCAGAAAACTCTGTTGTAGTGGAGGGAAACCCTGACAATCCATTCGGAGTCCGGCTGAGGAAGACGTCCACTCTTCACCTCTTCAGCTCAGAGGACGAAAACACAGAGGTGACTGTGTTGTTAATAATAACAATACATTTTATTTATAGGCGCCTTACACAGCACTCAAGGTCACCTTACAAGGCAGAGATAAAAACAGAACAAAAAAAAGATCATTCAAATTAACAGTGAATAAAACGTTATCTAGGTTGGCCAAATGGAAAACAATGAGACTGAATGAGATAGTTTAAAAAGATGGGTTTTGAAAATGTAGAGAGAGTCAATGTTACGATTACAATTTGTACTGGTTTGGCCGACTGCCTGTCCCACTGCGGCACAGGGCAGGAGCAAAGAAGGTGGAAACCCCAGCTTTCTATGACTATGCTGCCCCCGAGTGTTTGGCCAGTTCTTACTCATTGCCTCATTTAAAGAGAAGCTGTAGAGTCAACAGCTTAATCAACTAACTGTCTGATTTTCTCTTTCGCAGTCTCCCATCGAGTCTCCAATTCAGCCAACCAGCTGTAAAGCTGAGCCTCCACAGCCAATCGGGGTTAAGCCCTCCATAATTCAGCCAATCAGTAACAAGCCCGCCCTTCCTAAGAAACCAGACGTACACGGAGACGGTGGCGTTAAAAGCAAGAGCATCTCAGGTGTGTACACATAAACTCATGTACTGACTTTATATTGAGTGTTAAAGTTACAGTTTTCCCACAGCTTGAATAGTCCTAAACTTTGAAAAGAGTAAAATCTTGGTGTAACAGTATCTGCTGTGTAATTGATCCAGACCCAGCAGCAGCAGCAGCTCGTGGTGTTTCTGGTGGATCTGATTCTCCCAGCTGGATCTCTGTGGCCAAACAGAAACAGAGGATCTATAAAGAGAACTCGCTGGAGGAGATCACCGTCAAGAAGGTAATCGTCCGGTTGTTGCATCCACGTAAAAACCATTTCACCAACATGAAAATGACTGTATTCATTGACATTGTTCTCCAAGAGGCAATGTTAGTCCTTAAGATTCACATAATGCTAAGATCTTTAAAAGTTCAGTAGAAGAACGTCTGTGTCACAGTCATTATATAATAATATATTTAGCATTGTTCTATGAGGCCAGGCAAAGAAAAACACCAATGTTTATGTCTAAAACTACATACTTGTAAATGTAATTCAAAATGTAAAAATGCACTTAGATAATTGTGTACGATGTTGTTCTTTTACTCTGCTTCCATATATGTTCAGTACATCACCTCACATTTCCAGCCCCTTGTTATTCTAGACGCTGAGTGGTACAAAGAATGTGAACAGTCAGTGACTGTGCTGCTCTCTGTTATCAGGACGAACCAGAGAGGAAGTCTTCACTGCCGATGTACGTCAGCTCAGTGGCAAGCAGGGAGCAGAGCAACAAAACAGCTGAGTCCAGCAGCAAAGGTCAGAACACACACACTCACCAAAACAACAACAGGGGAACATTTCAACTGTCTTCTTTTTTAGTTTCTATTCAACTTAACATGCTGCAACCCCAAAACAAGAAGATGTCAGAGTTTAGAAAAGTAACCACTGAACTTGTTGCTGGTTCTTCACCTCAACATGTCGTCTCCAAGTTGGTTTGGACTGATGTGATGCTGCCCTCATCTGTACACTGTCTGCTACTACAACTGACCCCACAACCTCTAACTGTGATCCACCTTGTGTTAACAATCTTACGTTGTGCTCTCTGAGTTAATGTGATCTCCACATCACAACCAACATTGACTGATCAGGCTAACAGAAATTAAGTTTTTATTTATTTGTGAACAAGCTAAAGTCAAGTGGGCAAAAAACACAGATTATTGATCTGAGAATATGAAAATCATATGACTTCACTTCATGCCACTGTGTGATTGATGTGATTTAATTTCCTGGTGCTTCTGGTACAATTGTATGCATGTTTATATATTAAATGCATAATTTGATGATGTCTTTAAAGCATATTTTAATTCAGATTACTTTCCTAATGTTTTATAAATGGCTGCTATGGTTTTTCTTAGCAATAACTGTTTTAAATTGAGTTTTAATAATATTTATATAAACATCTATTGCATCTCTATCCTAGCCACAGTCCAGACCCCATTCAAATGACCTCAAATGTTCATTATTGCACACTGATTAGCTATGCTATATAATACTTATGAGTTATGTAATGCTTGAAAGTCTATAGGGGCCCTATGTATATGTACAGCAACTCAGTACCTTTACACAGCATAATGAGTTATATAACATGAGGCATTAAAACCGAATGCAGAAGTGTTTTAGATTCACATCTGCAACTCACGATCAGTGAGTTTTGATGTTTCATTTCTGCATCAATGCAAACAGCAAGCACTTGTATTTTTTCAGGAGATGTTTATTTCATTTGTTGGTGCTTGACCTGTGTGTATACTTCTTATTTTCTTTTTCTTTCTCGCAGAAATGAGTAAACCTTCAGCGTCTGTGGAAAAGGAGACGCGGAGATCTTTCTCTCCTCCAACTCCAGTGCCACCTCAACCTTCAAAAACCCAGTCACTGCCCTGTCCAGTTCCTCCAAAACCCCTCGTTCCACCTGCTGCAGCCAAACCTCCAGCCCAACCCACCCCTGACCACAGATCCCACCCCGCACCTACTCCAGTTCCTGTTCCCCACAAATCTCCCTCTTGCACAAGCCCGCCATCTCTCTCCAAACCTGCCACCTTCTCTCCTTCCTCCAATGCACCCCAGCCCCAGAGTAGCACAGTCCCCTCCACTCCTTTTTCATCGAGAACCACTCCAGAAAAGTCTCCTACAAGAGCTGCAGGTGTCTCTGGACAGACCCCGTCCTCCCAGCGAGGCTTGCCTCCTACTGCTTTGCCCCAGGACGAGCCTCCGTGGATGGCGCTGGCTAAGAAAAAGGCCAAAGCCTGGAGTGAAATGCCGCAGATCGTCCAGTGACGGAGCGGGTTTAACTAAGTCTGTGTACTTGGGTCCCAACTGGTTCGAAAAGAGACCCACTAGGATCTGAAAGGGGCTTGAGGTGGACCGAGAGTCTGGATGGACCAGAATGCATTTGCACACACAGATTTGTTGTTTTTATTTTCTTCCTCACGTCCGATTTCAGATTGGCACAGACCCTCCAATCACACAGCTAAAGACAGGCTTTGTTTACCCTCCTCTTTCCTTACGTCTGTATTCTTGTGGAGACATTTTCTACAGGACAGGGTAGGACCCCTAAAGTAACTGCGTCTTACATGAAGTGGATCCATATTTTTTGGTAGCAGTCTTAGAAAGAGGAGAGGAAATACATGAAGTCTCCCAGCAGGAAGTATGAATTGTTTTTTATCTAAATTAACCCAAAGTATTCCATATGATGCCACGGAACATTTCAGGTAAGGAGACAAGGAGAGAAAGAAAGAAAGAAAGAGGACATTTTATCCACAGGAGGAAAACACAAGTAATATTGGGGTTTATTCATTCATTCTGTCTTAAGGACTGGACGGGATGCTGTTTTTCTGTCGGTCTCAGTGGGTCTCTGTGGGTGTGTGTGTGTGTGTGTGTGTGCATGCGTGTGCGTGTGTGTGCCTGTGTGTGTGCGTGTGTGTGTGATTTTAAGGCAGTGATACATACTCACATTTTGAGGAATGTGGAAAATCTTCATGGCCCCAGAGTGCTATGAGATAACATCCAAGTTAAGCTGGAGAAAAATGTGCTGAAGTAGCTGCTGCTGGTCATGAGTTTTGGTTAAAAAAAAAAAGAAATCTGCAGAGCCTCAGTTTCTCTGTGTTTCAGGTTTTTTAGACAAATATATTTCTTATAACATCAACCACAGATACTTAACCAGTCATGTTTGCTGTGTTAGCGAGCGTCTGTGTCCGACATGTTTCAAGTTTCCTTGTAAATGATATTATTCATTTTCTCTTGATATTTTGAATACATAACAGGTTATCTGTCAGCATCCTGCAAAAATGTAAAATCTTCAAAACGTAAACTGTTTGGGAACTCTAAGAAAATCAACTAATACTCTGACCTTTGTGTCTTTTTACTATATTTACTGCATCATCATGTGGGCTGCTTGGTGTGGGTTATTTTACAACAAGTTTTCCATTTACAAATATAAGCATGTAAATAAATTGGTTTCCTGCAGGATGCAAATCATCACTAAAGCAAATGTCACAGCTAAATGTTTCCTTTGTATGAATTAAAGCTATGTATCTCACAGTCACTATATATGTTTTATGCATTTTATTTTGTATTGCCTTTTGAGGACTTGTCTTGTACATAAAATGTGCAGTAAAGAACAAATGAAAACACCTTTTGCTTTTCTACTTGCCTCACAATACAGCCATGTGGAGCCATGTAGATTTAAAAGCAATACAATACACAACAGGTCACAGTGTCTCATCCTCTTCCATGTATTTATTATTATTAAACTGTTTTTATTCCATCAGAATATCTGAAGCTTCTAGCACAGTTTATTGCCATTAACAGAGTCCTTGAGGAGTATTTATGTTTTCTTGGAATTGGGGAATTTTTAAACAACTCAATAATATAAAATGCAACAAGTATTTCTTAAACAGATATGTGTTACATTGAGAAAACGTAGGGAGAATGACAGAAGGAATAGTTCAACCTCAATGGTCTGTGCAAAGTTTCTCTATAAAAATCGATGTACTATTGAGATTTTGCATTCATGTCACATGTGAAAGTCGATGTTAAAGAGGTGGATTCTTGGATGTGGCTGTCGAGGTTGTTAAAGACCGTGGCAAACATCAGCAACTCTTAGAGCAAAGTCTTGGTTAAAATAAATGAACTCAGTGTACTCCGAGACATTTTGACCTGGTGTGAAGTTGTCTGTCTCTGATGTCCATCTGCCTGGATGACTTCATATGTAGAAAAAGTTGCTGAGCCCTTTTCGTCTGCTTGTTTCATGTGTCAGTTTTGAATTTATGATAAACTGATTTTAAAATGCACAAACTTGGAATGTTGACACACGCACACATGTGTGTTTATGTGTGTGACCTACTTTCTGCTTTCTGCTTGTGTGTGACAGGAATTTCAGCCAAATATTTGTGTGTGGTGGCTTGTATGTGCATGTTGTGTGTGTGTGTGTGTGTGTGTGTGGGTGTGTCGGTGCGTGTGTGTGTGGGAAGCAGTAATCAGCGCTGCTCAAACTCCCCAGATGTCTTTTCAGGCTAGGTTAGGTAACACTGCTGTTGCCCTACTTCTGATACGTGCACTATCACACACACACATGTGGCTCCAAAGTGAACCAGCCCGGATATACAATGTGTGTCTGTGTGTGCGTGTCCATGCCAAGTGTCCATGGCGATGACTGCTGGGTGCTGACCTTCTCATTTACAGGTTATATAAGCAACCAACTTGGCAAGGATCAGAAGCACAGAGGTGAGGGGGAGAGGGGGAGAGGGGGCTGTTACTGTTGAATTGCAGCTCTTGTTATCCTGTGTTGAAAAAACTTTCAAAACAACCACTCCTATGTCTCAACATATTACATGTTACAGAACATTCAACATCTGTTATTAACCGTCCTCTGTCCGGAGGAGGGATGAATATAAAACTACTAAATAGACTTAATTCTCCTGCAAACGTTTGTAACTTTATGTCGTTTGGTAAAGTTTGGTGATCGAATCTTAGCTCCACTAGAATGTCACTCAGAGTGATACCTCCACCAGGGCCCAACAGTCCTGTTGAATTAAATCCCTGCTGATTTCATACTGAATCCACATTATCTCAGCTACATGTTGGGGACAATGACAGGTTTCTGGCTTTATTTGCTATCGTACAGCGTACAGCCCCCACCCACATTTTAGTTAAAACTTTAACTAAAATGTGGGTTTGTGTTTTTATGACAACTGAAGGTTTGCTTTTAAAAATACTGAACGTATTAAGAGTAAAAGTACTTGCTGAATGTATCCTTTTCCCTAAGGTAACGGTCTACTGCATCATTTCAGCTAAGTCTGGGTGGGGGTCTCATCCATTACAAGTGATTCTTCTTCACCAGTGAGGCTGCTGCTGCTGCTGCTGCAGGAGGCAGGGTCTAATTTGATCTGCTCTGATTGGACCAGTGGAACAATTCCCCTCTCGTTGTTGACTTTAAAGGATGATAATAACAAATAATGTGAACTTGTAGACAGTGCATTGTAAAAATGTAGTGGAGTAGAAAATACAGATATAATGATACATGTAATGGAATGACTGTGAAAATTACCAGAACATTAATTGGAAAAATGTACTTAAATGCAGAAACTAAGTAAAAGTAGTTTTTTACATCCTTCCACAGCGGAACAACATCTCTGGGGGAAACTCACTGCTACACAGACACTGTGCTGTGGGTTTGGTCAGACTGACCTGACCTCTGGAGTGGCCCTGTTCTGGGTGAGGTCGGATTCTCACACTGTCATTGTTTCCAGTGACCTCAGAGCTGAACATTCGATCCAGAGAAAGATGACTGTCACGGCCATGACAGTGAATTTTAATAAACACAGCCATGACAACACTGATTTAATCTTGCTCTGAGAACTGACCCAACTTTCCTTCTGCGATCCGTTCAGTCCATGAGGACGTCATGAGGACTTCTCATTTGATCTGCCGTATATTCTGAATGGTTCTGCTGTTTGAACAGACTGCTTTATATATCAGGACTGTCTACATATTTGGTCGTACACGTCTTCATCCATGAGAAAGAAAAACATTCCCATGCTCCGCCCTCTATTTTTGTCACTGGTAATTGAAACTAAAGGGTGTATGGGGAAAAGAAAAGGTTCTGTCATCTGCAAATTATGTCTCAGCCCTTGAATTGAGGTGGGACAATGTGTTTTTCATTTATTTATTTGTTTAGAGTAAGTTCCATTTTTAAACTTTAAATTAGGATATTATTAGAAAAACAAGTCTTACAGTGAACAAGCTGCACAAACACAACACAGTTAAAGGAGCTTCAAAAACATATTCTATACTTAACTTGTTGAAAATGATGGAAGCTTTAAACTACCTGAATTAAGACAAATCAAACAAGGACATTAAATCAAACACAAAACACATTGTATTGTATTGATATATTTCAGTATCATGGCCATCATTAGCTTGTGTCATGCGATGATAAGTCCTGCCTCTTAGTTCAGGACATCAGCTGTGACTGGACAGTTGGCTACTTGTACTTTTTGCCTGCTTAATGTGTTTCCATTTCAAAAAAGGAAGTCAGCAGTTATATGCTCCTCTCTGATGAACAACACTGGAATGCAGTGCACCGCGTACTGTTCATTGTAAAACAGACAAAGTCAAGCATGAAATTCTACTCTCTAATATGACTTGTGCATAACTTCTTATGAAGTATAATATTTTATGTTTTGAAATATTTCAAATATTATATTAATAGCTTTGACCTTAATTGAAGTCCAAGCTCATTTCTTTGCAAAGATGAAACCATTTGATGACTAAGTTTTGCAGATAGAATAGTATTGAATAAAATACACATTTAACCAGAGGACGGCTTTAGATGAAACATCTATCTAACTATTGATAAGATATTTCTGTCAACCCACAGATTGACATTGCCATCCAAGAAGCCCCAGTTAAAGTGTAGCTGATAAAAATGTTGCTATCGTGCAATATGAGGTCACGTTTGCAGAATAGAGCAAAGAGATGTTGAGGTTGACTTTGTCTTTAGTGTGATGCTTAACACACAGTTTGTTACTCATCAAGTCTCAATTTATGCTGCTTTGTCATTTAGTGATTATCCAACCGCCATGAGAGCTGACTTGAATGAGTCCATGGTGATAATTGATCTAAACAGGATGGGTCCCAGACAACACAGCATGTTGGTCTCATTAACTCGCCTGTGTCTCTATAATTAGAGACACTAGGATTGGCATAAGTAGGCCTCCACACCTCTAGGAGCCCTCATGTGACTGCAGTGAGCTAAATTTGATCATCTGCAGTGTAATTATGCAGCATAACAATAAATAAAGAGCGAGACAGTGAGGGAGATCACTGCTCTTTCGTACCTGTAGTTTAACAATGGCCAACCACCTCTTTCTCTTATTGTTTTTTGTTTCCTATTTTTAAGTGACTAAGTGACCTACATTTCATTTGCATAGACTGTGCCTTCCTGTCTGTCCCGCTTCCCCTTCTCACTCTGCCTCCCTGTCATTGGGCTGAACATTAACAGTCTGTGCATTTATGTGCACAGCTCAAACATATTAGAGACGTTCACGTGTGGAGACAAGCTGTCACTGTCCCCGGTTCAAAATCTCCTCACGTCCACATGCAACATTTCATTAAATACAGTCACTGTGTCTGTGGTGAACCTGTTTCTATCTAAGTGTCAGTTCTGTTCGCTTCAGCAGTCTTTTCTTAGCTTCTCACTCTTGCTTGTTCGGCCTTGTTTATCCTCACACATGCATACACACAAAATACACTTCATCCACCTTCTCCTCGAACTCTACTTGAATCCGTGTCCATCTGTGGCTTTTGCCTGTGTACTCTCTCATTCAGATAAATGTTTTGTGGCCCCCACATTTAATTTGCATTAGAGACAAATTTGTATCACCCATACGTTTAGGTTTAGGCCACAACCTCTTGACACAAAGTATTTTATTCAGCCAAGCTTCCGCTGATCTGACATGATGTGTCAGAGTAGCCCCACTGTAACATCTTTTATGTGAGAGGTTAGCTGACCAGTTTTTAAAGGACTTATTTATGAAATGCAACATCGTTAGTCATGTTGCCAACTTGTGAGCATATATACTATGAGCCACTAGAACATTTATCTCATTGACCTCAATCAGCTTAAAATGTTTTTTACCTCTGCCTGTCCATTTGTCAGTTAGTTAGTTTGTAAGTAAGGTTATGCAAACATCTACAGGAGTGATTACTGACTGAAGGATGCTGTATATATACAGAAATTATAGGATGTAACAAAATATCATTGAAAATGGTGACTCATCTGGCTTCACTCATATTACAGATCTTTTTTCATAATCGGATTAGATAAAGGATCTGATTCATATTGTGAATTATTTAACACATTCCCAATGATAAAACCTGTAACCTGAAGCAGAACTCTCTAAGAAACACACACCAAACCCTGAAGGAGACAAACAAAGGAGACTTCAGATTCTCGTCCAGTCAGGTGCATTCGAAAATCCAATAAAGGATCATGAACACAATCCTTTTGGTTTATTCACAAGCCGTAGCTTCAGACTGTACTTTTGCAAAGTTAATGAAAACTAAAGTTTTACTATCAAAAGCAGACATGTACAGAAAACATCATGTCAACACATACATACATTCATCTTGTGCAAATTCACCCAGACACATTTAGAGGCCATGGAGTTCTACGAGAGTTAAGAATCAGGCCATTTAGTAACTGAAGTCAGTGCAAATATTTGAATACATGAGAAGCGCTTGGTGAAGCTTTGTTTTTAAAGATGTGAAGGTTTCGAGGCCAAATAGCAAAGCAAGAATGTGAAGTCGGGGTTCAGCCAGGGATTGGCTTCTGTTTGACTTTAACTTTGTTTATGAGACACTGTTCAAATTGACATGGAAGATAAATGAAGCGCTCCTTCAAATGCATCAAATATTTGGGATCAACATCAAACTCATCACAAAGAAATCTCTTCACTGAACTGAGAAGTGACATAATCTCTCATAAATGTGAGGTGTCGATGATGGTGCGTTTTAACACAGGCACAAATTTAAACAAAAAGTACATTTTGGAGCACTGATGGGACACATGATATATTTTCTAGACTCAAACACAGATTGAACAACAATATCAAGAAAATAATAACATATGGAAGCATAATAATTGTGTCTCTCTATGTGGAAGTGCTCACAGAGGGTACCGAATGGAGTTATAACTGTTCAAAAGTCACCGGTTGAATTCTGAAAGGTCAAGGTGTTGATTGTTGTTGCATAGCTGGGCGACCAAAAATTAAAAAAGATCCAACTTCTTCTACAACTGCAATGTTATGGTCAGTGACACAAACTGTAGGTATATGAAAGATACGGGGATGGAGGAGATCTGTGTGTCAGTGGCTTTTTTCTTAATCACAGTTCTCATGAATTTTTGAATGCTACACAATATTGAATGTTACCATCAAGCTGTAAAAGCAGTTTATAGACCCATCCTGACCTTTGAGGATTCAGTAGGTGACACCAAGACAAATGCCAATGTATTAATATTCCAACTTGGTTTCGTCTTATAACCTGTGTTAATCATCTTTTATCCGAGAATATGGAATCTCAGCAGTGACAAAAAGAGTAAAATAAAAATTATAAATATAGCAGCTATATAAATATAGAGTTACTGCTAATAGGAGTCTGCCGAGGTTGCAGCGGATGAAGCTAAGCAGCAGCCAGTACGCAGAAGTGTAAGTGTAATTAAAGCATGATTGTTAAAAAATAGCTGTTCTAACTCATTTTGATTGTGTGAATCTTTTGATTTAACTGACTAAATTATTTCCATGCCATAAATGTAAAAATGTAATAGTTACCATTGCCTCCTCTATCTCTGAATGGGAATTATTTATTTGATATGCTGTTATACTTGAGGTGTGATTATTTTTCCCTTTCCTGCCCAGTCTGAGCTAATTTATAATTTCTTAATGGTTATCGATCATGATAGTAGCAGCGCTATTGACGCCATCATCGAACATTTTATCATACATAGTGGGTTTCTCTGAACAAATGCCTCTTCAAACAACAGCATTTACCACTCTGTTAACTACACAACAATATATAGGAGTAGCTTACATTATAAAGTATTGCTGTTTGATTCTGTGCCACATAGCCACTTTGAAAAAAAAATCATATAATGCATTAATTCCATCAGCAAATTCTTGGTAAATATATAAAGATTGTAGTATGTTTCATTTTTCTTTTTTCCTCATTACATGGCTTTGGCCCTTTCAAAAGAAAATCATAAATGTGGATTATTCGACATGACGCTCCGTTTACAATCACATAAAATAAGGTGAGACAAATACACCGGTAAATGAGGGAAATTATAAAATACAAAGAACCTGATTGACATAGAAACATGTAAAATCAAACACATGTATAAAACAAAGCTCAACTTTCTTCTGCATTTTCCAGAGATGAGCATTTGCTGTGTAAAAACAGTTATGTCACAGACATCAGCAAGGCCTCAATATTTTAAACACATTTTTCTTCACAAAACATGTTGCTTTTGTTTTCAGTTCATTCTTTCCTTCCTGTGAAAATCATGTTCTGAAAGTTTCAGTCTGTCAGGTAAAATGAACCTGGTATGTATACTGTGTGTTTAAAATGTCCACACTACATTTTTCTGTGAAGAGAAGGCACTAGCCTTTACTAATAGTGTGGCATCAGTCACACTCTAATGAATGCAGATTTTTACCAGTCATGCTGTCCTGTGAGGAGATGCAAAAGAAAAGTATTGACTTCTGCCATGGGGGTATTAATACACCGAAGCCTGTCTGCACTGTCTCTATTCCCTTATTAAAGTGGTGCAAAATAAGTCTGAATAAATACTGAATAAATACTCTTGAGGGATATTAAGGTGTCAGGAATCCAGGCCTTGGTTAGGACTTCTTGCTGCATTGTGGGCTTCACAAATATCTCTGGCTGCAGACAGCGGAGGAATCCAAATATGTTTAAGTCAACATAGCTCCGATTATGACAGGCCATTAAAAAAAACTCCATAAATTTAGGTCACCAGGGATCACTGAGGGGAGACGCCCTCAACAGTGCCCTGTGCAGTTGTCAGTGTCAGCCATGTTGTTACCCTCTCTGGTTTGTGTGAAGGGTGTTTCTGTTAGCAGGTCAATATTGCTGATGTTTCAAAGGTCAAATGATGAGTAAAAAAATAATGAGTGAGCAGCTCAGCATCTTTCTCTGTGAAATGTAAACAATGTCACTGCATGCATAAATAATGATAAAAATAAATAATGGAAAAAATCCAACAAATAAAAAAAAAATGGATGAATAAAACACAACAACAAGAGCCTTGAAGCATTTTGATGTAAAGATTCAGTCCACTGCTATTCAGCTGAATGGGTCAGATAACGAAATGGAAGGAGGAAAGGAAGGGAAGCAAACAGACCGACTGTTTAAAACAAATAGTTGTTCAAGTTAAAGGATTAGCTATAAATGTCTGCACCCAGTTTACATAGATTTCAACCAGCAAATAGTTTTAAATCAAAGACATAAATCTTATCTAATCACTTATAATATAATTTGTCACTCAACAGTGGTGAGTGCATTGACACAAAAAGGCAAATTCATAGTTTGGTCTCTTATAGAATGCTTTGCAGTAGATGTGATTCTGAACTTTGCTTCATCTTTGCTTTAAAGCTACGATAAGACAGGCAGCTCAGCTTTTTTTTTACAGAATTGACAGAATTTTTTTTTGTCCTTTTTTGTCGTGTCATTCCACACACAATGTGTATGCAACAGGAAGAGCATGGAACTACAAAAAAAATGGAGGAGGGCCAGAAAGGCAACACTGGAGCACGGACAGATGAAGACATTTCAGCACAGCAGCTCGTAGCTGAACGGAGAGATGTCAGACAGAAACAAACACTTAGCTTGTGTGCATTAGCATTGACATCGAATGACATCAAATGTTACAATGGAAGGTGATGATTCTCACACGTAATTCCCCTCCTGTCTGACTGTAGCTCAAGTCTGCACCTTAGTTTACTCTGTGGTGTGTTGAGAACTAATAATAATATTAAACTAATAATATTTGGAAGAAGTCAGTTCCATCAGATGTATTTCATCTTTGCTCCTGAGGTGTAGATGAAATCCAGAGTGGCTTTCTGAAACAAATGGCGTTACAACAGAAAAGGTGCAACAATATCTATTGTCAGTTTTTTGTGCATCAAAAGGAAGAACAACAGGTCAACTGCTGCTATTTTTGGGTCGGGGGGGTTGCAGCGAAGATAACTGCATTTAATAAGGTGGGCGAATGTTTTCAGGAAGCATGTCACCGGTGCCTGCTCTGGGCCATGAAGAGCAGCACCTTGCGGATACCGCTAAGACGATCTTTCAGAGAGGTGAGGGCCAGAAAGGGCAGCTGGGCTCTGCCCTCTAACGGAAGAACAGCGAGTAACCACCAGCACCACGACGGCCCATTGGGACAGACCTGAAAGAGACAGAGAAAAGAGGACATTGTAGGAAGGTTCTGAAGACACAACAAACTCAAGCTATGTCCCAATTCAGGGGCCGCATCCTTCATCGGCTGCATTCATGGACCGAGTAAATGCAGCAGACAAATGTGTCCTTCCAGCTCTGAGCAACAGAGGCACGTGTGTGTGTGTGCGTGCATGTGTGTTTGTGCTGTTTGAGGGTTCAGACCTGCTGTAAGGATTACAGTTAGAATTAGGTTAAGGTTAGGATTGAGGTCAAGCATTTAGTTGTGATGGTTGAGGTTAAGGTAAGGGGCCTCACTAAAACAAAAGTACAAGGTTGTGTGTGTGTGTGTGTGTGT